GCAAAGCTACACAGAGAAACCCTGTCTCGAAAAACCAAAAAAAAAAAAAAAGAAAGAAAGAAAGAAAGAAAAAAAAAAAAGACAGCTGATCAAAGTGCTGAGAGTCGGTGGAATCGAGTGTTCAGCCCTAAATAGGTCATCTATACCAATCTCCCCGCCCCCTAAGGGCGTATCTTGGAAGATGGGGTGAAAAGAATGAGGATGAGAGGCTGGGGAGGTTGCTGGGAACTGCTCTGCCCTGGATAGGAAAACAGTTGTTGTACATACGAAGGAAGCCACAGCAGTGGTTACTTACGGGAGAGCTGCACTAGATCAAGCCAGCCTTACCCTTAGCTGAGGAGCTGTGGTAATTGAAAGAGGGACAGTTACTTTTCTTTAAGTGTGTGCCCATGCTACAGTGGATGTTCCCATATCCATGCAAATATGGATGGACTAATGGTGTGTTATATGAAAGGGGGGGGCACAGGCCTAGTGGAAATGATCAAAATACACTGTATACATGTACAATCCTGTCAATATTATGTGTGTATACATACATACATTTATTTATGGCCTTTGAGCAGGTTGTGGTGACAGACAACTATAATCCCAGCTACCCTTGACGCTAAAGCAGCAGCATCACCAATGCAAGGCTGCAATGCCTGGGCCACATACAATGCTCTATCTGAAAATATTGTGGCTTGGGGGCTGAGGAGATGACTCAGCGGTGAGGGCACCGGCTGCTTGTCCAGAGGACTCGGGTTCAATCCAGACTCACCTGGCTAGAGGAAAGGATGCCATCTGACCCTCCATGGCCAAGCTATGCCATTAGTACCCTCTACATACCCAAATATGCAGTAATTCAAAACTTAAAACCTAGAAAGGCCTCATGGCAGATAGTGGCAATACAGGCCTGTGATCCAAGCACTTAAGAGGTGGAGGCACGAGGATTAGAAGTTCATGGTCATTCCTCAGCTACAGAGCAAATTTGAGGCTAGCTTGAACTACATGAGATCCTGTCTCAAAAAAAAAAAAAAAAAAAAATCAAACCTCTCAAAAATGGTCTTTAGAATCCTGACAATACAATGATAAGGGACTGCTATGTTTTCTTTTCTGAAAACGAAGGGTCAGGAACATTAGCATGTCTGTAACCCCAGCACCTGGAAGAGGTGGGAAGTTTTAAGCGCCGGAGTTTCCATGACAGACTTCCACAACCTAGGTATTTCAATTATCTGTGCTCCTGCAGAAGCAAGAAAGGTAAGTCAATCTACCCAGCTGTAGACACATACACATCCCACTCTCTTTTTAAGACAGGGTCTCACTATGCAGCCCTGGCTGGCCTGGAACTTCCTTTGGAGACCAGACTGGCCTCCAATTCAGAGATGCTCCTGCCTCCAGAGAGTTAGTATAAAGGTGTAGTGGAACTACCGATTAGACCTTTTTTATGTGGGAAAGAGACCTCAAAATCATAGGCTTCTACTAGGAAAAACATCCAAATGCACTCCCCTACGACACCTAGGAGTTGAATTCCTAGGATTATGTTCCTTCATGGAATAAAGGCCTCATTTTAAACCCTCCCCCAAATGACACCTCTGAGTCCTTTCCCAAAGACCACCGACTCAAGCATCACCTCCCTTCCCCACAACCATCCTATTTACACATGGTGACTAATACCAGACTCTTGAAGGTTTTACAAGGTTTCTGAAAGCTCATTCGTTCCATTTGGCCAAATAACCAAGGTCCAGCTGGAGAGATCCAGGCAAGGACCCAACAAAGCTATCACCGCTATTCCAAGTAAAGGTTTTGATTTTGATTAGGCTACCTCACTGTGAGTCAAGATCAGTGGGGCAGTCCCTGAGAAAGCAGCCCAAAGGCAGCACCACTCCTCTCTCTAAGCTTGTAACCTATCAAAACTGAGTGGCTAAACACACACACACACACATACACACACACACACACACACACACACACACACACACACACACCTGTAATCCCAGTACTCTGAAGGCGGAGGCAGGAGGACTACACAACCTGAATTACACAGCAAAACCCATCTCAAACAAATAAAATAAGACAAAAGGCTGGGGGCTGAAGAGATAGCACTTAGGAGTACTAGCAACCAGTGCTCTTCCAGGGGACCCCGGTTCAATTCCCAACACCCACATGACAACTAACAGCCTTCTATGACTCCAGTTCCAGGGGAGCCAACACTCTCTTCAAGCCTCCACAAGCACTGCCAATGCACATGGCACACAGACACACATGCAAGCAAAATACCCATATAAATAAAATAAAAACCAAGCCAGACAGGGGTGCATGCCTTTAGTTCCAGCACTCGGGAGGCAGAGGCAGGTGGATCTCTAGGGTCAAGGCCAGCCTGGTCTAGTTCCAGAGCAAGTTCCAGGACAGTCATGGCTATAAAGAGAAACCATGTCTCAAAAAAAAACCAAACCAAACAAACAAAAAAAAAAAACCCTAAAAATTTTTTTTATTTTAAAAGGGGGGGGGGCTGAACATGTTGGCACAGGCCACACTAATCCCTACACTTGAAGGCAGAGACAGACAGGTGGATCTCTGTGAGTTTAAGGTCAGTCTACATAGTAAGTTCCAGGACAGCCAGAGCTATATAGTGAGTCCTTGTCTCAAAAAAAAAATTAAAAGATAAATAAAAAATAAACACAGGAATAAAAATAATTTTTAACATAAAAAAACATTTTAAGTGACAGAGTACTTACCAAGAATGAGAGTATCCTAGGGTCCAAGCCCAGGACCACCAAATATTATCTATATAGTTATAGCTATCTTCCCCATATTCCTTTCTAAGAAGTGAGGGCAATAAATCAGTAGACCAAATGCACCTATGAGGACTGATTTCCATACTCATCAGCAATGGTTATCAAGACATTCTCAAGGAATTCATTAGAAATCTAGGGGCCTTGTTTATGCTGCTGGGGATCCATCCAGGACCCCCCATATCCTAAGTAAGTGATCTATCACTGAGCTACATTCCCCACCTGAGTCATGTTGTTCTGTCTGTTTGTGAACACTACGTAGCCCTGGCTGGCCTGAAACTCAGCGAGCACTACCTCTAACTTTACAACCAGAGAGCCGGGATCAAAGGTACACACCAGCAAGCCCCACTCGCAGCTTGTTTAATTTTTTGAAAGGATTTTTATTATTATGCATATGTGTAGATGTATCTGTGACTGCAGGAATCAATTTTTGTAGTTACCTCTCTCCTTCACATTTACATGGGTTTCAGGAATCAAACTCAGGTCATCAGCAAGCACTCTTACTGAGCAATCTTACCAGCCTTGTTTTGTCTTCTTTTAGAGGCAAAGTCTTGATATATAGACCAGGCTAGCCTCAAACTCTATCAGGCATATCCAACCCGTAGTCCACAGGGCAGATGCATCCCAGGATAGCTGTGAATCTGGCCCAATATATCTGCAGATGACTATATCATACTGCAATGTCAAAAGGTTGAACACGCTGCATCTCAAGCTCCCGACTTCACCCTTCAGAGCAATGGGATTTCAGGTATGTGTCAGCTCTGAAATAGGGTTTGTTTGCTTAACTTTTGTTTCCTAAGATTTATTTATTTATGTATTTTATGTGTGTGAATATTCTATTTGCAAGAAGCCTGCATGCCAGAAGAGGGCATCAGATCCCACATTAGATTGTTCTGAGCCACCATGGAGTTGCTGGGAATTGAACTCAGAACCTCTGGGAGAGCAGCCTCTTAACCCCTGAGCCATCTCTCCAAGCCCTCTAGGGTAGTTTTTGAAAGGTATCTGCACTTAGTACATGTTTTCAAAGTTTAGATGCACAGTTTTGGGTTTATTTGTTTGTTTCGGGTTTTTTTTTTGGGGGGGGGGTTGGGGGGGGGTTTCAAGACAGGTTTTCACTGTGTAGCTCTGGCTGTCCTGGAATGCACTTTGTAGACTAGGCTGGCCTCAAACTCACAGAGATCTGCATGCCTCTACCTCCCAAGTGCAGGAATGAAAGGCACACACCACCACCCACTAGCTCCAGGTCTTAAAGCAAAGCAAACCGCTTTTCGTGTTGTTTGAGACAGTCCCGGTAAGCCAGGCAGACCTCACTATGCAGCCAAGGATGGCTTTGAACTCTTGATTCCCCTGTGTTCCACCTCCCCAGTGCTGGAATTCTAAGCACAATCCACTCCATCTGGCTGCAAACTGCCTTTCACCTTCAGAATTTCATGCTACTTGCCCTGCTAATTAAAAGGGGGTGGAGGGGAAGCAGTGGGGGTGGGAGTTGGAGAGGGAACCAGGCATGATGATACCTGCCTGTAATCCCAGCATTTAAGAGGCAAAGACAGTCAGATTCTCACAAACCCAAGGCCAACCTGATCTACACAGGGAGATCCCATCTCAAGAAAAATTTAAAAATAAAAAATAAGGTCTGGGGAGATTGCTCAGTGAGTAAAATGCTTGCCGTGCAAACAAAAGGACCTGAGTTTAGATAGACCCAGCCCCATTTAAAAGCCCAGACTGGCAGCACTTGCCTGTATCCTCACCACAGCAGGGGAGAGAGAGGCTGGTGGATCCCGGGGGCTCTCTGGCCAACCAATCTAACCAAAATGGAGAGCTCTGGGTTCAATGAGCTCTTACCTCAAAAAGTAAGATGGAGGGAGCTGGAGCTATGGCTCATTGGTTAATAGCACTGACTGATCTTCCAGAGGACCCAGGTTCAATCCCCAGCACCCATAGGGCAGCTCACAACTGTCTGTAACTCCAGTTCCAGAGGATCCAATACCCTCTTTCTGGCCTCAGAGGGCACTGCATGCACAAAGTACATAGATATGAAGGTAAAACACACACAAAAAAAAGGTGTATAATTAAGATCGAAAAATAACAAATAAAAGAGGTGGGGAAAAGAAAAGAAAAAAATTTAAGTAAATAAATTTGGTTTTGGTCCCAGCACTCAGGAGGCAGAGCCAGATGGACCTCTGTGAGTTCGAGGCCAGCCTGGTCTACAGAGCAAGATCCAGAACAGGCACCAAAACAACACAGAGAAACCCTGTCTCAAGAAACAAAAAAAAAAAAGAAGAAGAAGAAGAAGAAGAAGAAGAAGAAGAAGAAGAAGAAGAAGAAGAAGAAGAAGAAGAAGAAGAAAGTAGAACATTTGTCTTGAATGTACAACAGGCACCAAAACAACACAGAGAAACCCTGTCTCAAGAAACAAAACAAGTTCACCTTTAAGCAACATATTTTTAAGCACTTAAATATGGCAACATACAGAGAAACCAATAAATTTTGTAGACAGTTTAAAAAGCTAAAGGTTAGCCAGGAACAGTGGCAATTATCTATAGTACCGGACCCTGAGGTAAGAAGACAGCCATGGGCTACACATAGCAAGACTATCTCAAAAAGTGGGGGGGAGGGTTTGAGGCTGGAGAGAGTACTGGCTTGGCTGACCTTTCAGAGGACCCCAGTTCAATTCCTAGCAGTCACAAAGCAAGTCACAAATGACTGTAACTTCAGATCCAGGGGATCCAACTCCCTTTTCTGACCTCTGTGGGCACTAGGCATACTCATGGTGCAGATAAATACATGCAGTCAACCACATAAAATAAAATAACCTTTCTTTTTTTTTTAAACTAAAAAAAGGGAGGGGAAAAAGAAATTGGGTCGTGGTGGCATACTCTCTTAATCCCAGCACCCCCAGAGGCAGAGGCAGGAGGATCTCTGTGAGTTCAAGGCCAGTATGATCTACAGAGCTCTCCAGGATCCTGTCTTGAAAAACCAAAAAGAAAAAAAAAAAAAAAAGAAAGAAAAAAAGAAACTGGGCACAGCGGTGTAAATCTGTAATCCCATCACAAGAAGTATATGTTCAAGCCTATACATAGATAATTCAAGACAAGATCCTGTCTGAGAACAATGGACTCGTACAACTTTGAGGTGTGTGTGTGTGTGTGTGTGTGTGTGTGTGTGTGTGTGTGTGTGTCTGAACAAAGGGACAGTGGAAAACAATACCCCAGCATTTGTTTAACAATCAGTTTTCAGTTTTCACTGAGCACTCCAGCTGTATATGGAATCTGGCTACTCAATGTGTACTTACCTAATCTTAATACCACCCAAAAACTAGAATGGCATACACTCAGACCCCACCCCCCATCTACCAAATCAGAGCAAGCATTTTAACAAGACAGGCACATCCAGGATGAGAAGCAGGAATGCAGGGCCATCAAGGGTGTACTTACTGCACTATACAGATGGAGCAGCAACAACCAAACAAAGAGACAAACTACCTGCTCACTTAAGCAGATCATAGTTTATTAGGTACTACTCACAGACCTCCATTCTTTTTTTTTTTTTTTTTTTCTTTTTTAGAGAAATGTAGTACTGAACACGGGATTTATTTCCCTTCCTGAAATAACACAACTTAGTTTTAGGGCTT